AACTGATATTGTATAGTCAAAACATTTTTAATACAATTTTTATTTTAGATTCTATTACAAAGATAGTATAATTGGAAAAAATCTAATAATTTATCCCGATATTTCCGCTGAGAGACAATTGATTATCAAAAAGAATCTATTGTTAAAAAATAATGCGTGAGACGACACTTTATTTATAGCAAAAAAAAATTGTAGAGATATATTAATTATAAATCATTAATATATATAGATATAATGAAAGAACAAATCTAGCATAATATCCTATTAATGTTAAAAAATACAAATTAGATATATAAATTGAGACTCTACGAGACTCAATTTACAACAACATACAACAAAGTTTTCTTTTCACTTATCTCACCAATATAATTATTATTATGTTTCAAGTTTTTCTTTGTAAATCATTGATTATTTGCTTAAATGAAACGTATATCGAAAACTGTGTGTTGTTTTTTTATAGCTCGGCTACCGGATATGACGTAGATGTCTACGATCTTTTAACACTTGATTTTTTTTAACATTTTGAGATGTTAAAAAAAGCATTTATTCTTCAGCAAAACGGAGTAAAAGACTTCTACAAGCAACTTGGAAAATTACACCTTTCGCGTCTTTGTTTGTGATATTTTATTTTTTTTCTATTAAACAAGTTTTATATATATAATAAAAATTATATATATATACTAAATAATATTATTACATAAAATATGATTTTTGTAGATAAGTAAATCTCCAAGAATATTGCTAAGACTAAGCTTTCTCATGTACAATCATTAGATTTGATTAAATAAACTGTTACGAATGATTACGTTCATTATTACCTTGTTGCAAAAATAAAAATATCGATATTGTGTGTCATTAATAAAAATATAAAAAAATAGAAAGTACAAAGAAGAAATAAAGACTGAATTGAAAATTGACATTGTATAATTTCATCAACGTGTTTAAATGTTTCTTATTAGGAAAGTAACAACTTCGAATACATTCTGCACATAATTATTGTTAAATCTCATGCATGTCACGTGTGCAAGATTAATGATAATTATCATGTCCACAAATTATCTAACATAAATAGTTAGGAATACGCATTCATTTCTAATTATTTTCATTAATTGTAACAAAAAATGTAAATAAGAAATTGTGAATGCATTTTGATTCTTTCTTTCTTTATCTCTGTCGTTGAATGCGTTTATGAAATTATTGTATTTGTTAGTTAACTATAATAAAATATAATAAAATGAAAGATTAACAGAACGAGAGGGCGTAGAAGTTTGCTGCGTAAGTATCGATTGGGGACGCTGTTCGCCAACGAGACTAGCCTACATTCTGTCTCTTTTCTTCACCCTTCCGAGTTACGAAGGCCGATTTGTCTCCCTCTCTCCATACCCTCTCAACGACCTAGAAGTTCTCATTCAACGCTCCCTCCTCTTTGCTCTTACTTAACCTTGCCACCCTCTATCGTTCTCTTTTTGCTTCCTCTTCTCTTGTGATTGCGTTTCGATGGACGTTTGAAAAAAATAGAGATACATAGCGAGAATGTAAAAAGGAGTAACAAATATCATAAATAATAGAGAAAATATTAAGCGGAGAAAAGATTAAATACCACTCATTTAAGCTAAACAGAAAATTAACATACGTAATAATAAAAACGCAAATTTCTATCTCTGATTACAATTATTTCAATATAGAGCGATTATTGCTACGAACATACTACTTCTTGTTGAACGAGGATTGAGACGATTGAACGAGTTGGAAACATAGAAAGGAAAGGCGAATCAATGCTGGAATTGTAAATATATGTGGGGCATTTTTATTCAATTTCTAGAGTTAAATTTCGTGATAAATCTGGATTTCAATTGAAATAAATTTATATAAACTTCCACTGTGAAACTTTAACTTATAAACATCTCAAATAAACGAGATTAAATCAATATTGCAACAATTCAATAGTTTTAACGATCTCGAAAAAAATTCGATAGGGCAGTGATTTAGTGCTAAAATTTTTCCCAATGAATCGTACCATCGTCGTTCATAAAGGGTATCGTTGGATGTAGCGATGGTACGTACATACATACAAGGGGCGAGGCCACGTACCGTTACAGAGGGAAGGGTGGCTCAGTGAATCGTATCCGTGTCACGAATGCGCGCGTCTGCTGCACTCCATCCCCTCGCTACCCCTTCGCGGTCAACGCGAAAGAGGTGAATGCAGTTGGCCGTCATTTTGCAATCTGTTCAGACGCCATTCAGATGCGTTCGACGCGAGTCCGATCCGTCGCAGTCGCGAAATTTATCTGCGGAGCTACGTATCGTATCTTATCGTCTGCCACGATGTCAATGTGCGCAGGGTGATGCTGTCTATCGCGATAACGTCTTAACGAGACGTAAGAAACCATCTCGAAAGGAAGAGAAGGACCTTCTTCTCACTCGCCTCGGCAAGGTATATGATCAATGCAAATGCGAATGTATGTGTGTTTCGACGTTATCATCTCAATGTGTTAAATTATCAATAGAAGTGCAATATCATTATTATGCATTGCGTTGAAAATAATACGATTATCAGCTCTTTGAAAAAAATAATATGATTATCGGCTCTTTCTTACAAAAATTGAACAATTGAATTTTATTGTCAAAAGAAAATAACTAAATTTCGTTATACGTTTATATCTTAATATAAATTAGATGACAAAGCTTAATGGATCGAGTAATCTATCAATTATGCTAATGCGAAATATATTCGATAATTTACAAATACATTGAAACATGTTTATAAGCACAATAGTTTTTGAATCAATAGACTTATGTCTAATAGTAATATATGTTGCGACTTTACGAGGGACTATTCTATTCTACAATTGTACATACAATTAATTAAATAATTTAATTCTTATTATATAACTTATAACAAAATATTATAAATTTTAAAATCTAAGAATCGATTCGATGGTATTTCTTCTCATAATAATTCATTATAAAACATTCATAGAAATAGAAAGATAAAAGCATTTATTTCTAGAACAAGCTCTGTAATTAAGAACATTAACGAAAAATAAAATACTATAAATATTATAAAAAAAGAAAAATATATAAAAGTATACAAAATAGTAACAAGTAAAACAGCAATAATGAGAAATAAGAAAAAAGTAGAGCAGAGAAAGAAAGAGAGAGAGAGAGAGAGAGAGAGAGAGAGAGAGAGAGAGAAAGAAAAAGCGTTTATCGAAGTAAACACGGAAAGAAAAAAATTTGATGAACGCTAATTCTATGTCGTAACGGCAAATTCCATTTACAAATATAGAGATAGCAAATTGTTTGCAACAAATGCAAAATTTTGATCAAATATACAAATTTGTTTGCTACAAAAACGAATTTGATGATTAAATTTTGCAATGCCTTTGCGTTCATAGCAAAATTATTTTTCTCAATAAAAAGACACTACTTTTTACCAAGATCTTATTTATATCTTTTATGATTATTCGCTAAATATTAATTTTATCGATATTTATTGATACAAAATTTTTTTTAATTTCCAAAAATTTTTATTATTTAATTATTAAAGAAATTTACAAAAAAAATAATCAAATTATCCATATATGATATTTGAGTTTCTTTCTTCAATCAATCATTGTAACGTAATTTTACGCAAGTGCTTGTATCCCCGGGTGCGTGCGCTCTACGCGAAAACTCGCTTCCTGTGGAAGAATGAATGGGGATCAATTCAGTTAGCAGCGCGAGAGCTACTCTAATATTCGTCCAAGCTTTTTCATCGTTTAAGAATACGATACTAGATTTTCTCTATTTTCGTGTTTAGAAAATTTGTTTTCTTGTGTCTTACGATATAAATCACAAATGTGTGAGTTTGAAAAAGAGATTTTTCTCAATAGCCAGTGATACATCACTTCTAATTTTTCAATAAGTCTTAAAACATGTTCCTCAATCTTGAAACGACAGAGTAATTTATTTACGTTAGTGTGAAATCGATACGCGAATTCAGTAGCGGTGTGCTTATTGATTTTTAGCTACTACAATGATTGCCGCTTGCCATTATCGTATTATAGACAGTAAGTAAAAAGTATTAAGATTTATCATTTACTAAAAAAAGAATCGATACAATATGAAATTGGAAATTATATGAAGTTATTATCTAATTTTATCTACTACAAAATTAAACTAAAGATGTTAAAAAGTATATAAAAAAAAAGGTATAAAACATGCAAAAAGGTATAAAAATAATGCGGATTTCTAGTGGAATGTGATATGCTTGAGTGTAAACGGCAAATATGAACATCCGGTTTCGTGAATCATCGCTATATTCTTGAGAAGTACGTAAGATGTTTAGGAAGATATTCGTGGCTGTTTATCTATCGTTGAGATCAACGGAGAAACAAACTCGAATACTTGAAAACTTTAATAAATTTTAGTTAATTAAAAATAAGGGGAAATATATATACATATAAAGATTTTAGGAAGAAGTTTGCAATTTTTGATATAAATATCTAAAATTCTAAAATTTTAATTATTAATCGAGTGCGACCGAGAGCTTCAAAAAGGCAATCTTAATTTAAAACATCTTTTTGAGAGCAATCAATTGGTTATTCATGAAGAGATTGAATGAATCAGCCACGATATTGCGACAAGTTGAGGAAGGACCATAATTCATTTAATGCGATGAGACAATTCAGTCCGCTTCTGGTTTCTTTCCATCGTATCATTGCATGTAAAGGATTTTGCTCTTCCAAAGTGAGTTATTTGTTAAAGAAACAGCGCGTCCGCTGCATATATATCGAACAAAACCCGTTTCCGACGAATCCCGAACACAACCTCACCGTCATTAATCGCACGTGCTCCGCTTTCATTCACGCCAACTCCCACCTATGAATAACACGGTACAAGCGTTTACATTCACACCGTGGTTGGCCGGCGCCAATGGGCCGATGAGACCGTCATCGTTCCGATTGGCCGGCGCTTACTCCCGACGTACTATGCGAGAGAACGAGAGGAATGTGAAACGATCGTGAAACACTATGAATAGAACCAAAGCTCCAGGTCAAGACATATTCAACGGAGTGTCTCTCGGCTAGTTCCGACAAGGAGTTTGCCTGGCTTCGACTCCATCGCAATATGGCCGTATCGCCGTACACACAACCCCCATTCTCGGAGCATCGTGCCCGTAAATCACACATCAATACGCCGCTTGATATATTGTTGTATGTGCTGCTGACGAAAGGTATCGATCAAACATCAGTGTGAAAAGCAATCCTTCTCTTTCGCTCACTCGTTCGCTCATTCGCTAGCAAATACCGTACATATCCGCTTGCTATTATTACATCAATGAGAAAACAGGATGTGATTTATTCACGATGCTCCGACTTCGGGATAGTGTATGACGCGAGCTGACTGTGTACGTGCGAGTGTGCGTGCGTGCGTATCATTTATGTATGTACGCATATTGCAATTCATGGCTGACAAATGGCAAATGGACAATTTTACGTCGCTATTCCATTTTTATTTTTTTTTCCATACTTTTGCAATTCTCTTTTTATCGTTTTATAAGAAATAACGAATTATTTTTACTTCTTGTTTGTAATGTAAAACAAATTCCCTCTTCCGTTCAATGTTATTCGTTGAAATTGTGTTATATTTATTACGGTTAAAGTTATATGTTAAATTTTTGTTAAACAAAATGTTTGAGAAAATGATAAAATTTAATTATATAGGAAAAAGATTTTTGTACAATATTTACAATGCTTCACAATATCGTAAAGCTTCTAGTTACGTTATATAGTCTGTGTGTGCAATTTTATTATTATTTTTATTATAGATGGTACAAGTGTTTCCTTGACTCATCATCATGCAAATGATGTTAATTATTATGATGCAACAATCAACAATAGTGATAATATAAATCCTCTGGAAAAATTTTATCTAATCACTGAACAAAAGTGGCATAAGGATACACTAGTGCCAATCTCCTTATTGCCCTCTACGAAGGGAATGCCTATGAGATCCCATCACAGGTAATGCTTACGTATCGTGTAAAAATTCACAGTACCAGCTGTAATCATATTCCAATAATGTTTCACAAAAAGATTAAGATTTACTCTTTATCTCAAAGTATTTTTAATACAGAGTCCGGCAGTCCGTGACAGGACTGGATGATGCTGGAATGGATCTCCAAGTGGCCCAACTCAATAGTCAGACAGACAAGGAAGTACATTCCAGGACGACTCTATCATGGCTAGATTGGCATTTGCCTTACTTTGTAGCGCTTTGTGCAATCGCTGGCACTATTCTTTTTACATTCCTAGTAAGTATCACATCTTTTTTTAAAAAACAAATTACAAAAGCTTTATAGATATGTGAAAACCAATTAGTTTTACCATTGAATTAAATCATTGAATTAAATATTGTATATTAGAATTGAATAATAATAATAACAACAACTTTCCAACAGATCTTGTTATGGCTGCGAAAACAAATGTCGCGTGAAAAAGATAACGAAAATGGCGATCGGCACGGTCTGGTCGAGGAAGGTGCCACTTGTAAGCCAGACAAATCAACTAAAGATGCAAAAGAATCCGTGGAAGCTAAATGGGTTCACGAAGCATTCGCGAAGCAATCTGCACCCAAGTACCCGGTACGACCAATTCCACAGACCTCTTTACCCGAGGTAAGAGAATCTACCTGCTATCAATGTAATTCTCATACAAATGTTAAATAATCGTATTAAAAATAATCTTCATATTATGTTAAAAGTCTCTGGCAACGCCCGAACGTAAACCGGAAGCGATACGTATGAAAGCAAAAGGATTGTTGGAAAGACGTGGTTCGAGCACAAGTTTAACCATAGAACTGGCACCAGCTCCTGAAAGTCCGCCACATATGGTTACTCCTACCCGAGAATGTACAACGGAAGAGTTTTTGCTAAGTGCAGGAAATGTATTATCGAGAGCACAATTGAAAAAAATTATCGAAAGTACGGGAACATTACACAAAGAATTTTGGGAAGTGCCACTAAATCTACCGGAAAAAGTGGATATTTGTGGCTCAGGAGTGAAGAATCGATACAGCTCTGTTTTGCCCAATCTACAAACGAGAGTGATTCTACCAGGTTCCTCCGACGATCCGCTCGCCGGTTACATAAACGCTAACTACATCCGGGTTTGTAAATAGTAATTTTGTGTAAAATAGTATAAAATGATGTCTGAGAAAATTTGTTTGATTATGATACGTAAGCACTTTTATCATCAAATTGCACGAATTAAAAACTACAATAGAAAACAAAATTTACAGGGTTACGATGGCGAAAATGGTAGATACATCGCGACACAGGGACCATTAGCTAACACGATAGAAGACTTCTGGAAAATGATCTGGGCAGAAAAAGTTCCTGCAATCGTCATGATAACTAGATTGTACGAAGTGTCCAAACCAAAGTGCGAAGCATATTTTCCCTTTGACGTAAATAATCGCTTTCAAGCTGGATCTTTCACAATTATCCTTAATTATATCGATACGAGAAACGGATATACCGTCAGAACTATGGAGATTCGACACGAAGGAGAAAGGAGACATTTGCAACACTACTGGTAATTACTGTGCTTTTCATTTTCAAATAGAAACTTTATTAACAATAGATAAATATTTATTATTAGAAATTTATATATTAAATTCTAAAATGTATCAACAGGTATGATTCATGGCCGGACCATGCTGTACCTCAAACTGCAGATGCGCTCGTTAGTATGGCTGCAGAGATAAACGCTTCGCCAAAACCAGTAGTTGTCCACTGCAGCGCGGGTATAGGACGAACTGGTTGTTTCATAGCGATAGGAATAGGAATGAATCAACTTATAAGAGATGGAAATGTCGATATATTGGGTATTTTGTGCCAGATGAGGTAAGGCAATAAGTTTTAAATACATACGTACGTTGTAATCTTATGTAGATTTTATAAATATAAGTATTCTTAATATTTTAGATACGATAGGGGAGGGATGGTGCAAACGGCGGAACAATATGAATTTATTCATAGAGCACTTTATCTTTTCGAGCAGACACTGGAAAGCAAACCGTCGACTTCGAGCGACTGAATGAACGTATTACTATTACTACTATATTTCTTTCGCTTATTCTTTCGTGAAACGGGGCTTTATTATTGCCTAAGAGAATGTCACTTCGCGCAGGGCTATATGCTTACCGCAAAAAAATATAAATTTCTAATGAATCTCAATGAATCTCAGCCTGTGAACCGACGCTCTCATTTTTATCTCAATATTTCAACGAGTTCAAACTCGTTTAATAAGCTGCCATTTTCTACTGCCATGACAAATCGTTGACAATTGATATCAATCATCACAGAGCTCAAGAGGTAAAAAAAAAAGGGTTCACCGTCGGAGTGCATTTTCTATAAGCAGGTGCTTTTTAAAACTGAGATATCACAAATAGCTTAATAAAAAGAATATTTATGTTTATAATAACGCGCGATATGAATCGTGCGGCACGTACGCTTAAAAATTAATATTATATTATTTTATATAAGTTATGAATATATAGTATGAATATGAAATATAATATGAATTAGAAATAATCTCTAAATACGGCGATAATATATTCGCGATTCGTATCGTAAAATTTATATCTAAAGATCAGACATTAAACTTGGGATTTAATTATCCACACATTCCTCGTGTGTTAGGAAATAGTTTATAAGTTTCAATAAAATTTTAAATACAAAAATGTGTAGAAATGGTTTCGCGCGTATTCATATAACTGATACAATATTCTTCGCTATTATCACGTTTCGCGATAGAGTAGATACATGATACATGACAAAATTTATTAAATTGTCCTAGCGTATAAGAGCTAAAGTTAATGGTAATTATTTTAATGATATATAATATTAAATGTGAAATAAATGTAATATGATACGTATGTGTGTGTGTATATATAAACATAT